ACTGGGACTAGAGAAATCAATTTGCATTAAAAACTCCCATAAGACATGCAAAAATGAAAATTTTTGTTACAAATAGACACTGAATATGGTATCTATGTTTTGGCTTAAAAAAAAAAACCAAAACAACTAAATAGCAACTAAATTGAAATGTCAGTTCCACACGGCATTTTTTAATTCTCTACAAACCATCTTCTAAATATTTTCACATGGAGTAGTTATCAGTATATTACATTAGTCATCAATATGGTGAAGCAACTGCCCTTCCATTTGTGCTCAGTGTTACTAGGATACAGCCACAAGAAAAGTCCTGTCAGTGACACCCTTCACAGAACGTGGTCTCGAGCAAAACCAAGTAGCTTGAAGAGCAAAATGCCCAAAGCAGTGACACTCTGTGACACTCTTCTAAACTCCACCTATCTACAAAAATAGGTTTTTAAATACAACATTCAAATAAAATATTAAATCCACATCTTCAAATTAAATCCACATTTTCTATTAAGAGACAGGGTGCTGTTAGCACTGGATAAGCATTCTGCCAAATGAATCAGCCTATCACACAAGGCATTAATAACAGCAACATGCAGAAAGCCTCTCCTGCTGCTCCTCTGTAGATCTAAGTTAGATCTTGAGGCACAGTTGAAGGGCTTACAGGATAAAACTAAGAGCAATCTCAGTTTTACCTGTTAGTGTTTCTCACAAGATAAAAAGTCTGATTCTTCAAGGTCACACAAYAGAAGAAGTGACAGATTATAACTGGCTAGTGGGCAGAAGCAAATGGAAGAAGATAGCAAAAGTGCTTGTTCAACACAGGGCTCTAGTGCTTTGGCCAGTCCAGTTTAGCACCGTTGACAGAAAAAATACGGTTTAATATTTTTAGCTAACCTTGATATTGGATAGGGTTTTTTGTTTTCTTTTGCTTTTTAATTTGTCTATAAACATGAGCATTTTCAAGCTCTGCTGGTGGCTACGAAGGTCTCCATTGGAGGCTGAGGTGAATCACACTGCGTTCGCTGGCAGGCTGATTTCCAAAAAGCTAATCTGATATCACAGAAGAGGTAAGCAATGCGCACAGACAAARAAAGGGGGGGGTCAAATGCACATTATGTTAATGGGTACAGAGCAGAGCAGTATGTGACTCATAAAACAGGCACTTCAGAGTCATGCATATTTTTCCCTATTTACTTCCTTTATGAGTTTCTACCATTTTCTACRCGTTTTTTGCCCTTATGRATTCTGAAAGAAATTTCTATTKGGGGMTTTATTTATTTATTTTTACCAGCAACTTTCATAACCAGTTCAGTAACTGGGCTCAAGGTTTGGCACCCAACAGACTGAGATGCAAACTGGAAAAGCAATGCTACGTTTCTACCTYCCATCCAAGGACGTAGAGCCTGCGAAGCTGATCCAGTCACAACAAGGGTGCACAGAGCTTGGATAATCTTTAAGAGAGATTGCATAAGATCAAACCATGTTTCCCAGGGCTCACACCTCCAGTTTAGAGCTGCAGGCCAAAATCAAGCTTTCTTCTTCCTTGGGCATGAAAGGGCAGAACAGTCACACTGGTCAGCTCCCAGTTTTTCCACTAATATTTGAACATTTTGCCCCACAAGCCTAGAAACCTCCTCCCACAATGCCAGTAGCAGGTACATCAGCATAGGAAGAGCAAAGTATGCATGGAAAAGAGAGGACAGTAGAGTTTTATGTTGAAAGTYGGACAGGATAGTTTAGAGGAATTAAAATGCTATGATATAAATTGGGAGTAGCATTAGTACAAAAAATGCAACCAAAGAAATCAGCATGCACTGGACTCCTGCTAGAAGTTCTCCATCACTGCAAAATGTAATATATTCAAGGACATCAATAAACCAGTACAACAGCATTTYAGTATCAGTTACACTATTTAGAGCTAAGCCAAAGAAAAGTATTGTTTCCATCTTTTAAAGACTGAAATTTGTAAAAGATATCCCTGTCATCTCTGTGCTCCTGACATAAATGCACAATGTAATAATTTAGATATTTATATCTGAAGCAAGAATGTTACTGTTTAATATGTAACTGAAATTATTAACGTTTAAACAGTACATTTCTTACAGTTGTCAAAGCATTATTAAAGGCGGCCTGCAAAGTYCTATGTAAAAAATGACAACTAAAGAACTGGTGCTCACAAGCAAGTAAAATCTCTTCAGAGATTTAGCATTTCAAAGCACATCTATTTTCTTATATCTTTGCACTATCTTAAATCATCCAAACCTTTACATTAATCTGTGCATTTTTCTTCTTGGATTATGCAGAGACAAGAGTGACATCACTTAAACACACCTATTTTCAGCTTGCCTAGGATGTAACAGAGGAGACTCAGAAGTTTCACAGCATCACAGAATGGTTGAGGTTGGAAGGGACCTCTAGAGACCTTGTAGTCCAACTCCCTGCTCCAGCAGGGACACCCAGAGCACGGGGCACAGGGCGGCATCCAGGCGGCTTTGGAAGATCTCCAGAGAAGGAGACTCCACARCCTCCCTGGGCAGCCTGTGCCAGGGCTCTGGCACCCTCACAGGAAAGAAGTTCCTCCTCATATGGAGATGGAATTGCCTGTGTTTTAATTTATACCCATTATCCCTTGTCCTGTCAAAATTTGTTTGCCTGGAAAAAGCAAGAGGCATGTTTTTAACTGAAACTTTTTTTTTTTTTTTTTTTGCTAAGCACATGAGAAATCATGGTGATCTTTGACTTGGAATATTTTGCAGAGCATTGTTTATGTAAGCACAAAATGCCAGCCAGGTCATTACAAAAATCTAAACCTGCCCTCAGGTGCAAATGACTTGCTACTTATGGCTGTAATTAAACCATGCTTTCTTTTCACCTTTGGTGCCTCCACAGGAGGCATGGCCCTTTCCAAAGTTTTAGCCCTTTGCCAATTCTGTTCTTTGTAAATGGAAAAAATCAGGTGTTTCTGAACACTTACTACTTAAATTACTTCCATGTTAACAAAAACAGAGACACCTCCCAGATGAGGTCGTTTCCCACAGGTATTCAGAGGATTTTTTCCTGGAGGAAAAAAGAAGCTCACTAGACTGCAAGGTCAGCAGCACAGATCAATTGGTAAGGCTGCCTGACTTCATTATATCCTCCTCCTGTCAATGCTTTATTTTAAATTGTTTTGCTATTTCTTAAATATAAGAAATATAAAAATTGCTCTTTCTTAAATATGTGCCATTCATAAGCTGACTTTTGGGAGAGAAATGTTGGAGGAGGATAAGGGGGGGAAAAGTAAAGCATTCTCCATTCCTGAGAATATACTGTTAGAAAAATTCCAGTTAATTCTTCTTGCAGAAGCATTTTTTCTCCCAAGATCTCTAAAGCAGGTAACTTGCACTGGGCAGTAAGGATGGTCTTTACACTGAAACAGGCCTCTGTCAGCATCGTTAAAGTCTAATTTGGCTAGCAACAGGGTTTGGAAACCACACATTTTATTCACTTACTGGAAAGCTCCCTCAGTTGGACAATATTCCAAAATACCCTAAATCACTAAGCGGAAAGGCTGGAGTTGAATATTTGCTAACCTGTGCTTGGATGCTCTATATCCAGGCAGAAATGCTGGGCCTGAAGCAGCTTTTCTCCTTTCTATGCCTGGATGAAAGACAACCAGATATTCAGCTTGCCCAGGACAGTTCTGGATTACACGGTTTGTTCCACTACCCACACGGATCTGAGAGTTCTTTTGTACCAGACTTCTGTCCAGGAGCCAGAATTTTCTTCTTCTTAGCCCAGGGACCGAGCTCCTTCCAGCACATTAACACAAGAGGAAAAGACAGGCATCCCTGCTTCAGCTCCTCTCCCAAGTCACGTAACCCAATGGAGAAGTCGTGCTTCCAACCTGAGCAGGTCAGCAGAGGTCTATCATTCATCACATGGCCCAATGGTAGAGAAATTTTCCATGAGGCCCCATTTGTCCAAGGGTTCCCTCCCACCCACTCCATATCTTAACGCTCTAAAACACTAGAACAATCAATCCAGTCAGTAAATGRTTGTAACCTTGCAGAGCTAAGCTGTATTTCTTAGTCTATGCCGTTTTCAGTTTTTACGGAAAAAAAAACGACATAGACCAAGTTCGAGGCCACAGTCTAGCTGAAAGACCTATCTTGCATAAAAATGCTAGCAAGCGAGCCAGCCACTTTAAAATCTCTAAAGTCCTTAAAGGGTAATATCATTAACTACAGATAATAAAGTCTCCCACACAAACCTGATTTGAATATCTCATTTATGTCCAAAAAATGACATCACAGAATAGTCTCTTATCTTTAGCTCTATTTTAACTATATTAAAAGTAATCTCTGAAAATAAATGTTATTTTGTTGGTTTTTTTTTWTTATTTTTCTCTTTTGTGGCAGATGGGTATTTTGAGGAACATGGGAGGAACCACCTGGCCATTTTAATAAGGGCGAACTTACTGATAAAGAACAAAGAAGAAATCAGAGTCTCTGATAAATCTATACAGATGTAGACCATAYTAGCAAAGATGGTTTAACACACCAGCAAAACCATGAAAATTGACACTTGCTGAAATTTTGACCCATTGAAATGGGTCAAAATGAGAACCAGCATTCTTGCATATAGAGATATGTATTCCCTGAATAGAAAGAGTGTAAATTAATTGTTTTAGGGTGACATTGATAAGTCCTAATACTCCTGGTATGCCAAGGATGAATCCTGTTACATTTAGATTACCATTACATGGACAGCATATAGACACAAGAGCTGGAGCAAGCAGAATTCTTTAAAAGATTGCTGTTAAGATCTCTACATGTGAATARATGTTGGCAAGAGCTACAGATCTTGAAAAGATCTCTGTGCTCTTCAAGTGTGTTTTTAACTAGAAACGACCAGCAGGCAAAGGCCTTGTAAAATTTAAGAAAAGCACTTGGAATGGAAATGTTAGACATTTGTCATCAATTAACTTTTGACAGAAACACTATTAAAAACAGTGACTTAATGGTACTTACCACAAGGCAAAGAGTTATCTTCAAATGTCTTCTTAGAGATCCAATCCTTCTTCCTCCAGCCTATAATACTGCCATCTTTGCAGGTCTGGGTGTGTTTTATATTTGCCTTATCCCACATTCTGAACATGTAGAGCTCCCCAGTCATTCCCATATCAGGTGATGTGGTTGTACCTGGCAGCTTTGAACAGCCAAGCAAGAACTGCCCTTTTCCAGGGAGACTCTTTTTCTCGGCTAGTTTTTTGTTTCTTTTTTTTATTCCATTTACGAATAACTTCACCTCCTTATCTTCACTTTTCCATTGGACACATATTTCGTACCAGGTATTTTCACGAAGCCTCTCTGTCATATTAATTTCATTTCCAAACAACCATATTCTTAATTTATCATGATCTCCCATAAGTCCAAGATCATACCTATTTGCTGAGAGATTACTGTTAAGTGTTTCTTGATTATATACATATGCTGTCCATGGCCTATTTGTGGAGTTTAGCTTGAGGAACACACAGACAATGAATTCTTTCAAAGGAAGCAGAGAAATTCTTGGTGACAGAATCCAAGGATCTTCGCATTCAGTCTTAAAGACCGCTTTGTATCGTCCTAGGAAATCCTCCTGATCTAAATGAAGAAAAGGTGATTTAAAAAAAAATCTTTAAATATACCTTCTATATGAGTTTTTCATGGTTCCTTATGATAATTCTTCTAAATATTTATAGACACATTAAAAAAAATTGCATCCTTGGTGGGCAGGGGGCAACAATTTGGGAGGCAGTTAATCAATCTTAGCTGCTAATGAAGACCTTGAAGCAAAACCTATGCACAAGGGGAAGTAGGATCATGTAGCCCTCTACAAGTGGGAGGCAAAGGCAGAATTGCACTCTCTGGCCCCTCTTCCCAGCACTGCACAGATATTTCACATTTAATAGGCACTGGATAAAATGCAGAGTGACTCTGACTGCCCTCTCCTCACCTCCCAAACTTGCATGCTCTATCTCTGAGCTACATGGTCATGATTCTTCATGCTCTTTCTTTCCTACCCTGTAATTCTTAAATTCTTTGCTGTAAATTTAGCAATAAAGGTGGATGATTGCTATATTCCAGAACAGAATGAGAGCTTGTGTAAGTTGCAGGAAGTGTGAAGCCCCTCGTTCATTTTAACTTTAATCCCATCCAGCCCCATTCCCTCTTCTCTACCAGRGCTAGTAGTGGCACAGACATCTGGTCTACGCCTATCAAATCCACTTASGCTTTGAAAGGGTGGCAACCTAAAGTCCAATTGTGCTATTAAATAGAATCTGTAGTGCTAACAGTAAACTCGCTGGTAAAAATAAAGTCTCTGGCCAAATAAATGCTGGTAAAATATGTAGTGCCAGGGAATGCCCCAAACACTGAATACCGACAATCTTAAAGTATTTRTAAGTGCCTCCTTTGGCAAGGAGGTAAGGAGGCAAGGATGCCTCCTTTTACAAGGGAGTAAACCCTTTTGTGGATCTARATGCAAGCTCTTTGGAGATGAAGATGAGTTTTATTTTTTGAAAAATGCACATTATCTTTGTACTAACATCACTGTGATTGCTTACTTTATGCTAAGTTTATCAGCAACAAAAACAAATGAACAAAAAAACCAAATAAGCTTCCCATGGGACATGAACTGAAAGGAGAAATGAAACAGACCTGCAGATGCTCAGGCAGCATAAGAGTCCATGTTACTGACAGCTTTAAGAGACATGAATTTATCAAAACACRCAGAGCTTCTATGTAACCTCAAGAAACAGTATGTGACTAACCATGAGTAGYTGGGGTGGATTACACTAAAGGATCAGTCAATATATTCACTCGCCTGTCAAGATATATTTCCCAGCCACCTTGAAATCAGGTTAATTTTTTTTTTTTCTCCCAGGTGTGTCACATTTATGAATGTACTTGAGAGCTGGCTCTCAAGATCATAACCAGATTTTTTCAACCAACCAGAGCACCAGCTTTCCTCAGGCAAACCCTGAGTGAAGAAATTTGCTTGACTTTTGCCTCTCTTGACTGTGGGCTCAAATTTCTTTTGAGAGGGCCACAAACAAAAATTAGGAGGAAGATTCTAACTGTGGCAAGTTCCTCTCGACGGTTAAGTTATTGGGACAGTTTAAAATCATAAGCTTTTTGATCCAGTTTCACAGCAAGCCGGTGGCAAGCATTTCCTGGCTCGTATTACAGCCTTTAGACTCCCCTTCTGACACTAATCCACATAAAACTGGAGGTATCTTTCAGAACATTGGCCCTAGGGAATCATGAAAGTGCCATACGAGAACAGAGGCCAACGGAACCAGAGAAACTCCCAGGAAACAGGCTGAAGCTGTAGGTAAAAACCCTTATTAGCAGACTGAATGGGGAATTGCTGAATGGGGAGGGGACCTTGGTGACGGAAGATGCCAAGAAGGCAGAGTTACTAAATGCCTTCTTTGMCTCTATCTTCACTGCTAAGGCAACCCCCYATGAACTGCAGGGCTCAAGTGGAAGAGATATAAATGGGCTAGAGGAAGACCTTCCACGGGTTGAGAAGTATTGGGTCAGGGATCACTTAGGCAAACTGGCCACTCAAAAATCTATGGGCCCAGATGGGATGCACCCAAGAGTGCCGAGGGAACTGGCCGAGGTTATTGCTCAGCCTCTCTCCATCATCTTTGAGAGGTCCTGGAGAGCAGGGGAGGTGCCCGAGGACTGRAAGAGAGCCAACGTCACTCCAGTCTTCAAAAAGGGCAAGWKGGAGGAGCCGGGCAAYTACAGGCYGGTCAGCCTCACCTCYRTCCCTGGAAAGGTGAYGGAGCAGTTCATCCTAGAGAGAATCTCCAGGCATATGAAGGAGAAGAAGGTGTTGAGGAGCAGTCAGCATGGATTCACCAAGGGGAAGTCATGTCTGATGAACCTCACAGCCTTCTATGATGAGATAACTAGCTGGCTGGACAAGGGGAGAGCCGTGGATGTTGTCTACCTTGACTTCAGCAAGGCTTTTGACACTGTCTCCCATAACATCCTCATATGGAAGCTCCGGGAGAGTGGACTAGATGAGTACACGGTGCGGTGGATCRAGGGCTGGCTGGATGGCAGAGCTCAGAGGGTGGTGATAAATGGGGCCGAGTCCAGCTGGAGGCCTGTGGCCAGTGGTGTCCCTCAGGGATCAGTACTAAGCCCAGTGCTGTTCAATTTGTTCATCAGTGACTTGGACAAGGGCACAGAGTGCACCCTGAGCAAGTTTGCAGATGATACCAAGCTGGGTGGTGTGACTGACAGTCCGGAGGGCTGTGCTGCCATCCAGAGGGACCTGGACAAGCTGGAGAGCTGGGCAGACAGGAACCTCATGAGGTTCAATAAGGTCAAGTGCAGGGTCCTGCACCTGGGCAGGAATAACCCMAGGCACCAGTACAGATTAGGGGTCAACCTGCTGGAGAGCAGCTCCATGGAGAGGGACCTGKGAGTCCTGGTTGACACCAAGTTAACCATGAGGCAGCAGTGCCTTCGTGGCCAAGAAGGCCAATGGCATCCTGGCAGCATCAAGAGGATGTTGCCAGCAGGTAAAGGGAGSGGATCCTGCCCCTCTGTTCAGCTCTGGTGAGGCCGCACCTGGGGGCAGTTCTGGCCTCTCCAGTATAAGAGGGAYRTRGAGCTTCTMGAGAGGGTCCAACGGAGAGCAACTAAGATGATTAAGGGAATGGAACATCTCTCATGTGAAGAGAGGCTGAGTGAGCTGGGCCTGTTTTCTCTGGAGAAGAGAAGGCTGAGAGGGGATATGATTGACATGTATAAGTTCATGAAGGGAGAATGCAGGGAAGAAGGAGACAAGCTCTTTTCACTGGTTGCCAGCGATAGGACAAGGGGAAATGGGCATAAGCTGAAACACAGGAAGTTCCATCTCCAGGTGAGGAGGAACTTCTTCACTGTGASGGTGACAGAGCACTGGCACAGGCTGCCCAGGGACGTTGTGGAGTCTCCTTCTCTGGAGGTCTTCAAAACCCACCTGGATGCCGCCCTGTGCCMCATGGTCTAGGTGTGCCTGCTTGAGCAGCAAGTTTGGACTAGATGATCTCTAGAGGTCCCTTCCAACCTTGAATATTCTGTGATTCTGTGGCTGTGGACTTTGCATGCTAAGGTTATACTTAGCATGCTTCTAGGGAAGCTGGCAGGGGAGAAGTACACTTCTACTTCCTCTAAAGTATGACTTAAACCTGGATGAGGAAGACATTGAAATAGGAAATGTCACAGCAGTGGTGACTTTTGGATGCTGAGGCAAATGCACCATCCTTAGGTGCATTACATTTAAAATAAGCCTGCCATCTTCCCGTTCAGACAGCTCATGAAGAAATTTGGTTTTATAAAGGAAACAACTAGCTATATTTACAGTTAGATGTGTCACACTTTTGACGCAGGCTCTTCATAAAAAAATATGATACTACTCCTAATGATACTTAGGAGTTGTGGCCCACAGTCAGTCATGGAACCAAAGAACTGAAACTGGCTGTGGTCTTACAGGGGCTTTCTGAGCTTAGCTCCTTTGGGTCTGGTTGCTACAAGTCACATGCAGAAACCTGGCCATCAACATAACTTTATCATTATATCATAAAAAAGCAGTATAACAGCAAGGTAATACTCGTAATACTTCCAAGATAACAAGGAAAACAGTACAGCATATAAAAAAGAACCGTGAATGTTTAAAGTTCATCATCATCACAATATTTACAAATCCTATCAACAAACAGAGACAACAACACTGTTGCTGTAACAGATTCATCTGGAATTTCCTTTCCTTCGCTCTTTGAATTTAAAAATTTTCCAGGCAATAATATTTGAGAGCTGACTTTTCAATAGCTTTTGCTATATTCATAAACTTAACCTCTTTCAGAAAGAGAAATTGTTCCTCGTTAAATACAGTCTAGCAAACTAGCAAATTCAAGAACTTTTTTTTTTAAATACTCACTATAACTAAGAGCACAAGCAAGAGTGTTCTCTCAAGCATTAGAAGAACTGGAGTCTGTGCACGTAGTTTCAAACATATGTTTAACTTAAAATGAATTTGCTGAGAATGACAAAGTAATGCAGAACAAAAATGTAACTTTCTCTTTTCAAAGAATTTCTGATAGTGGTAATTGGTATCTCTACCTAGAGTATAAATCAGCACCCGTAAGTAATAAGAACTAGACACAGAGAAGCAAATACTTCCAGCATCTAAGCAAAAGCATTATTTTTCTTACATTAGTATAGCTAGTACCTCCGTATAGTTAAACATTAATACAGCTGAACATTTTCCTGAGTAAAAATATTCATGTTTCTATGAGTCTGCACCATCTGGCTCTTTCCCAGTAATAGCAATAGTCATTAATTTATATACATGTGATTGTCACATTTGAATTGCTACAGTCCATTATATCTAAATGTACCCCTCCTAGAATGTCACATCCGTTCCTCACAAAAAGTTGAAGACTTCACACTTTCTAAACATGGTTCACTCCACTCTGCTGAATGAAACATATGTTGCTGACTTTATTGACCTCATACACAAACAGCAGCGTGTAATTTACTTTTTTTYCAACTAAAAAGATGTATTAATTTTTCATTCACTGCTATATAAAGAACATAGACTTTCAATTGGCAATACATGATTTCTGTCAAATGCTTTGCACCTTGCTACCTTTTCCACAATCATATTCACATACACAACCAAGATCAATGAAGGAGGTGTTACCTATTGACCCATGTAAAGGTAGAGCAAAGCTAAAGAGATAAAACCCCCTCCCACCTCAAGTTATTCTGGTTTTAACATTCAGTCAGTAAACTCTGATTAAAAGGTTTTTTATGCTTATTACCCCACCTCCCATGATAGTTTCTGCCCTGGAATAGCCAGAACGCTTTGTGACAGCAAGCAGGAATTGTTCAAAATAACTCATAGATGATGTGATGACAAAATACACATCACAAAGACAATGAGACAGTTAGTAGTTCCAGGTAGGCACGGATCTCCATGTGAAGTTCACATTCTTCTGTACTCCCCTTGTCTTTTAACCTACTACTGAAATTTATTTGTAGCACTTGTTTTCTCAGATGTTCCATGCAGTCTAGATAAAACTTTCAAAGGTTACCTATCTCAAGCATTATTCTAATATCCTTACTAAAATCCTTATTTTTAATTATATTTCAGTGTTTTCAAATATAGCATTTTCCAGAGAGTAATCAGCTAATAGTGTGAAATACTTCTGTTATTTTATTCAATTCCTCTCTTTGTATCTTGTTGTGTTTGCCTAAGATCAGCGTGAAACAGTTAAGGAGATGATCTGAAAATAGTAATACTTTCTATGCAAGAACTGCCAGAATTAATTTGCTTTGCTGTTACATATTGTGCTTACCCTCCTTCCTGATCCTTACCCCAAAAGTAATTACTGATTAATTGTGCCATGACAAACAAATAATGTAAATATAAGGGTGCATATACCAAAAATGCTGAGCACCAACTCTTTCTGTTAATGGCAATTACTGCCCTTGACTTCAAGAAGGGAGAATCTTGCCTATTCTGAATACATCCAACAGTTCCACTCACCAAAGCTAGTACTGTTTATTTGGAATATCAACACTAAATGAATTGGGAAAAATGTGTCTTACCTTTGCTTGCTGTAGCCAGGAACAAATGAAGTAAAAAGAAGGCCAGAGCAATCCTGAATTTCAATAAAATATCCTGGATTCTGCCCGCACAGCAGTGATGCTTTTCCCAAGCAACCATTCTAGAAGTAACAAGAAAACACCAGTCCGTMACTGTGATTTGAAACAGCACAGAAGTGTATATGTTATGACCAAAAAAAAGGTTTCCAACGCAGAAGCATAGGTTTTTTTAAGGCCATTACATTACTGGGCATGTATTTTACTTAAAAGTGCCAAGTCTCTAATGTTGCCAGGTCACCCAGAAAGAAACCACTGTCTACTGAAAGGAAAAAGACAAAAAGGGGAGGTAAGAAATAAAAAGAACAGTTAAGCTCTAACCCTCTGAAGACTCACAAATGTAGCAGAACATGGCCATGGGTCCTTGGATGACRGAGGCTTCCAACATTAAAATGAGAAAGAGAAGCACTTGTTCAATAGCTAAGACAATTTCATAAAGTATGTACAGTAAATATATAGGAAGGGCCTCTACGGTCCCCTCTCCTGGGGTTCTATCAGCCAGCATTTTAATGTCTGCACTGCTGCAGAAATTTTAGCTTGGTTTGGGGTCCTACTACTTGCAAATGTTASTGTAGCTCTGACCAGTCTATCAGGCTGCAGTTAAGTTTGTTAATGGAAATGGACAGCTGTGAATTCATTTAAAGTTAAAGCTTAAATACATTTTTTTGAAAGTATTCATGTTAGCAACCATTTTATGCTTATATTTATATTATGGGCTAAACTCATGAGAATTTCTAGAGGAACAGGCTGAGAAATGCGTAAGTTAGTGAAGTTGCTAGTTACTCAGCACTTTGGAAAACAATTCAATTTGCATGCAAAGAAGTTATATTTGCACAACAAAGTGACTCAGGAAAAAAAGACTTTTTAGAAGTTAGAGCAGTGCAAGATTACTGTCAACCATTAGTTACATAGTTAATATATAATATTTTGAGGACACTGGGTTGAAGGAAATCGTGTGGGATCATGGCACTGGCATACTATACTGCTCCATTTTCCAGATCCTGGATGTCACATTTATAACACTGAAATACTCTAGGGAACAGTCACCACAAATCTGTCACAACTTGGAAAGATCTGAACACTGCAACATCCTGGCTGACACCTACGTAGGTGCTGCAGATGTTAACCAGCAGCAAGACAGGATCTTTAGTGAAAGATCTCAGAAGAACACTAACATAGTAGGCAGAGAAAAGAAACAGCAACCATGGGCATAATTAATACRGACAATAAATAAATAAAGATGAGAAACGAAAGCAAGTGAGCTTTCTAAAGATTTACATGAAAGGGGTTCTATCACACATTTTCCAAACAATATTCTGCTTGTTTCTCTGGAACACCTAAAAGACTCTAATACAGCCCCAGTCAGTAAATTAAGTAAGCAGAATTACATCAATTACCTCAAGAACTTGATTAGGAAAAATCACTCTGCTTAAACATTTCCAAGGCTTCAAATTACAAATGACCTGACAGCTGCAAAGCTCTTTCATCTACAGGATAATTTATTAGTGTTTAAAAAAACTCCCATTAAAAAGCTGTGCTTCCTTTCTCTGCCTCCTCATGTTTCCCCTTTTGGTCTGCAGCCACTTGCTAACAGAACCAAGCTCCACATCTCTTCCCCTGTTTAACAGGGACATCTCTTTTTTTGTAGGGTAAAGCRTCCATCCACAGCAAGATACTTAAACTTAACAAACTAAACACAAATTGCAACATGTCTAGCCTCTGCTACCTAGAAATCAAAAAATCAAATAAAAATGGGACAGAGCCCGCAAAAATACTCTGTGGCACCCTTAAGGTCAGCCCACATCAAGACTGGTTAAGTACTAAAGCAAACAACCTGCTGTGTCACATATAATACTCATCCAGGATGCTCCTACATTCCCTATACCCAATTTCCTGTAAGAATCAGTCCTGCTAGGACATTTACATGAAACCAGCTGCCTGGGACAAGCTTTACCTCCAGGCCATGAAGTACAACCTCTATTTGCTCTGGTAGACCTCCTTAAGCCACCACATCAGTGTCACATGCACCAGATACAACAATTGTCCTCTAGGGTAAATCTCAGGGTAGAAGCCAAGAAACCCAAGGTTCCAGTTCCAGCTCTGCCATTCCCCCATGCATCTGCTGGAGCCTGAACAGACCTTACTCAACTCTGGCCTTCCACAGGGAGCTTCACTGATCTTTGCCCAATATTAAAAAGAAAAGGTCCAATAAAACAGTTTCTGCACACTTAGTTTTCTATTCCCTCTGACTCAGGCCTGCTTGAAGTTTAGCATATAGGCATATAAAGGGAAACCCTGACATGGTCACAGCCCAGTGAACTTTGGGAAAATTATTTATTATAATATTGTAAATTTAGCATAATCATCTTAAAGATGAGCACATATGACTTAGAGACCAGCATGAACCTGCAAAGTTGGCCATACCAAAAAAAAAAAAAAAAAGAAAAAAGAAAAAAAGCAAATCTAATGCAAAAATCAAGTACAACAGCTTCTTAGCAAAACTACCACCCAAGTATGTGAATTTTACACAAAACTCATGCATCTGTGACCATACATGAAGATGTAACTAGCCGTAGTTACTTACTGTTCTCAAGTAATTTTTTACACAATTTTAACTGCAAAGAGCAAATTGCCCGAATTAGGAAAGAATATAATCAGTTACCTATCTATATGGGGAGTAGTTAGCGAGGAAATTCAGCAAACAAGACATCAGAACTCAGGAAYAAGTCCATTCCATGTAGCTTCCCCTCTACTTTGACCAGTGACAGTGCCATCAGTATTGAGGTTTCAGACTACATGTGACACAGCAGCAACACCAAGGAGAAACCTGGGCTGCTTCCCAACTGTGCATCCAAAAGTGGCACAGCAGGAGCCCCATTTGGCTTACCTTTAGCCATGGTTTGCCCTGGCTTACARCAGACACTTTCCAACAGGTTGAAAGAGAAAGAAAGTGCAAAATATGGCTCTTCTAGGCTGTATGAGGCTTTCTATCAAGTCACCTCCTGAAAATTACGTGCAAGTTTTACAGTTCCTGCTGAATAAATCTATTTATTATCACTCCTTAAACCTAGTTCTTTCATGCCAAGTTTTGGCCTGAGCAGCTTCTCATTGCCAAAGCATCAATTGCTGGCATCAAAATTTGGTGGAAATACTGACCCAAAGCAATCAGTCATTTTCTTATAACCATGCTGTCTACAACTGCATTTCAGGCTCTTTTATTTGAATAACACTTATTTCATCCATACTCTTTGGGAGTCCAACTCGCTTTCTTTGAGGAATCCCCTGTTAAAGGGCACAGATTTTAGCAAAAACGTAATTCCCAAAYTTTTCAAAATTTTATTGTTGAGAAGATGTTAACAAGTAATAGAGAGCTTCTGGCTGCTGTTTCATGACTGCATTATCCATGTTTGTACGACATGCTGAAACACAGTAGAGACGCACGTCCTACTGCCTGCATGTGAAAACTTCCCAGTGCATTCAGCTACTTTCAGAAGAGTAAGGCTACCAACTTCTACCGACCTCTTAGATTTTCCACATTGGAACCAAAAAGTAGTAAAGCTCCTCTGTTATTTTTAAACTTTGGCTGCAGCAAATTAGATGTAATAGGGAGGACGCTTATGTCGGAAAATCTTACGTCAGTGTAACTTTTGGCACATATAGCACGCGCTGACTTAACAACTGAAGCAGCACCATCAAGTCAAAAAATGTTGTTTGAAGCTTTTTTTTTCTTTTTTTTTTCTTCTCTCAGAAGAAAGTAACATGAAAACTACTGTGTGGTAACAGCTTCATTTCATTAATAACATCCAGGACTTATTGCAAGCTGTAAAGTCAGATATACTGTGCTCCATCAAATTCATTCACTTCTCTGAAGAATATCAGCTTTTTCTAAGACTGCATGAAGAAYGTGTAGAGTCAGCTCAAGGCTCTTTCAAAGCACAGGCTACATTTAATTTTGCTTTCCCCCAAATTGAAAAGCTAGGGCATGGATGGTCAAACTGCCCCTGCAAGGATGAGGGCTAAGAAAAGCAACAGAGCTTRTGCAGAGAACAGGAGCGCCCAACTCCTGCTGCCGCCAAGACACTGAGCTCCTGCCTCTGCGAAGGGTGGAAGCACATTCTGCTTCCCAGGGTATGTCCCCAGGATATTGCTGCACCTCGTGGACGTGAAGCAAGGGTCCGGCAGCTCTGCCATATGCTACCATTGATCTGGTAACCATTAYTTCTCACTTTGTCTTCCCACCATGCAACAAGTGAAACTCAGGCCAACTGCTCTTTCCCATTTCACATGGGAAAGATAAACAGGGATAGGATATTCCACTCACTTCTAAGCTTATGCAGGCACTTTGTAAATGGAAAAATGACATTCATCACCACCACTTCTACAATATCATTTCACTCTTTTAAAGGCTGTATTCTGGCAACGGCTCACAGTGAGCCATTTATGTACTGACACTGCTCTCCTACAACTCTCGTATTGTTCAAGCCTTAACAGGAATACATGGGAGGAAAAAATTTGGGGGAAATACTTAGTTTTTAGTCTTTGAATTGCTGTTGATATTAGAATTACATTAGATAAAGATTTATATTATRAAGTCAGAGCAGCATAAACCAAGATCTGTCATCAGTTATACTCACATATCTGCTCTTAACTTTGTATCAGAGAGTAAGTGTAATCATTAATATTTACATGAATTTCCAAGGGTAATATCCTACAAGATGACCCTTCCATAATGTTACTCCATGACAAAAATCAAACAACCAAAAAAAAAATCCACTTTAAAAAGTTAACTCTCTCTTACAGCAACTTTTGTCTCTGTATATAGTTTGAAATTGTCACCTGTTCTAATTTCACTGTATTTTCTTTATTCCTTCTTTATGCAATATGGAGATGTTTCATCTCCTCCTGTCCAGCACTCACTTGGAGATGAGCAAAAAGCCAGTTTCCAGCTCTTAAGAAAGTTCTACAACTGTCCAGAAAATACTTGTCTCTGGTGGCTCTTTCAAGAGAGCTGTATTACCCTTAGAGTGCATTAAATCAACCAAAGCAAACTAGAAAGCCTTCAGT